TAGAAGGGTAGAGAATACTGAAAAGCATAAAGAGACAATAGGGTATATGTAATTAAAGTTTTAGAAGAGAAGAAGAAGAAAAAAGAAAAGGAGAAAAAGAATGGGGCAGAAACAATATTTGATGAGAATTTGGCTATGGATTTTCCCAAACTGATGAAAATTATCAAACCACAAATTAAAGCTGATCAGTGGTATCAAGCAGGAAAAATATCAAGAAAATCCGCCTGGGGAACATCATAGTAACATTGCAGAAAACAGGTCAAAGAAATCTTAAAGGCAATAAGAGAGTAAGGCATTTTACCTTCAACAGAGCTAGTAAGACCGACAGCCTGACTTTTTAATAGTAACATGGCATAGAGAAATAATAGCATTAAAGTGGTGACAGCGAATAACCACCAATCTTTACCAGTGAAAACATCCCTTAAAAATAGAAAGTAAAGATGTGTTCAGAGAAACAAAAATTGAGGAGAATGTGTAACCAGCAAAACCACCCTTAAAGGGTATACTAAAGGTTGTTTAGAATGGAGGAAGATGATTCCAAATGGATGAAAATGTTGGGAAGGGACTGTTATGTGGGTAAATATGAGTGAATTTTAGTTGTATAAAATAATAGTAATAATGATGTGGACTTTAAAAGAATTAAAGTATGTAACAGTAATAGCACTGTATTTGAAAAGAAAGTAAATGGTGATAAATGTGTTCCAATGCCCTTGTATTGTCTGGGAAGTGGTAAAAGTGCTAATTTTATGGAGGAATTTGTAAATGAGAGATATATGTTATAATCACTTAGGTAACCACTGAAAGAATAGTAAAAGGATATGTATTTGATAAGCTAGTGGTGGAGAAAAATGGAAAAATAAAAATTTAAAAAATGTTTAAAACAAGAAGGCAAGAAAGAGGAGATACAACAGGCAAGGCACATAGAGAACAAATAGTAAATTATTTTATTATTTATATGAGGTTCAATACTTACTAGGTGAGCTATGTAAAATTGGCAATATTTAGCATAAAAATAGCAATTTTATAATACATTAAATGTAAATAGATCAAATTAATTAGAACCAGAGTATCTAATTAACTAACTATATTCTGTGTATAGAGTCACACATTAAATGTGAAAATACAGTGAAGTTGAAAGTAGAAAATGGAAGGAGATATATCATGTAAATACCAAGGTGAGAAAGTTGGTTTAGCTGTGTAAGATAAAATAGACATTAAGGCAGAAATGTTATTAGAGATAAAGAGAAATATTTAGTTGGCAAAGGGTGTATATAACTTTATAATTGCATTATTTAAAAAAAAAAGAATGCAATAACAGGAATTAACTCATTAATCCTTACATGTTACCATGACTTTGAAGAATTAGTTTTGTTAAGTTAACCAGTTTGGGGGGATTGCATATGAGGCAGGTGCTCTTCCACTGAGTTATGTCCTACCACTTTTTAAAATTTATTTTGAGGCACAGTCTTTCTGAGTTGCCTACGCTGGCCTCTTAAGTAGTTGTCCTCTTGCTTCAGCCTGTCAAGTAACTGTGATTACAGGTGTACACCACTGCACCTGGCATGATTTGTGCTTTTTGTATTATTAAAAATCTTGCACTGGGGCTGTGACTCAGTGGTAGAGCGCTTGCCTCACACATGTGAGGCACTGGGTTCAATCCTCGGCACCACCTAGAAATAAATAAACAAAGGTATTGAGTCCATTTACAACTAAACAAAAACAAAAAAACCTTTTGAGATATAAAATTCAACTAATTCTGTTTTTTTCCTGAAAGCTTTAAAGTTTTTTTCTTTGAAATCTTTTGATTCATCTGACATTTGTTTATATAATGCATAACACACAATTTCATTTTATTTCCTGTAATTTGTCTCTTGAATTCTTGATTTGTAATGTCACATGATACTGAATTTCCATTTCTGCCTGGGTCTCTATCAAGTTTGTCTTTCTGTTCCGTTTTGACCATTTGCCTTTGGCCAACATCATGCTAATTTTAACAATAAGTCTTGATAGCACTTTGGGTAAATACCTTATGATTTTTCAGAGTTTTTTGGCATGGGCTTTAGGATCACCTTAAGTTTCATTCTTTTTTTCCACCTTAAGTTTCATGGAAAATGTTGAAATTTTAATGGGTAATATAATGAATTTATACACTAATTTGGGAGATAATTGCAATTTTTTAAAATATAGAATCATTTTACCTATAAACAAGGTAGATTTATTTGTCTTTTATCTTCCTCAGTGAAGTTTGAGTTTTTCTTTATAAAAGTCTTTTTTTTTTCTTTTTTTTTTTTAATACTGGTGATTGAACCCAGAGGCCCTTTACCATTGAGTCACATACTCAGCCCCCACCCCTTTTTAATTTTAAATTTTGAGACAGGGTCACTAAATTGCTTAGGGCCTCACTAAATTGCTGAGGTTGTCCTCAAACTTGTGATCCTCCTGCCTCACCCTCCTGAATTGCAGGAATTAGAGGTGTGTGTCACCATGCCCAGCTTTAAAGTCTTTTATATCTTTTGATGTATTCTTAGAAACCTTAAATTTTTATTTAAATTTTAGAGCTGGGATGTAGCTTAGTGGTAGAGTGCTTGCCTAGCATGCTTGAGGCACTGGGTTCGATCCTCAGCACCACATAAAAATAAACAAGTAAAATAAAGGCATTCTGTCCATCTACAGGTACCCCCCCAAAAAAAAAACCCAATAAATAAATAAAAAGATTTTAAATGACAAAGTTATATTTAAAATTATTTATATAATATTTAGCGATGCTGTTGATTTTGGTGTGTCTATCTGAAATCACACTTCAACTAAACTCTTTTATCATTCTGATGTTTTGTTCTTTCTCTTTGATTTAATTTTCTTCATGATAAATTATGTCATCCACAAATAAAATTTATTTTTCCTTTCGATTATTATTTCACCACCTTTATATTTATACCTAAATAATATAGTCTAGATAGATATCTTTGAACAGTAATACATTCATGCATATGCAAATATTATATGTATTTTCTTCTTGGTTTATTTAGATCAACTAGGAAGGAGAAGTATCCATGTTATAGTTAGGCAGCTGCATATTTTAACAAATATACCACAAGTTTATGTATGTGTTGTTGATGGATGTTTGGGCAGTTTCCTGTTTTCATGACAATGCTTTTTGTATGTTCTTGGGTATTTTTTTATGACTTTCCATGCATGTATCTGCAGGTTCATAAGAGTGTACAAATCTTTAACCTGACAGTATAGTGCTGAACTGTTTTTCAAGCTGTTTGAATCAATTTAGATTTCCACTGACAGTATTTGAATGTTCCTTTTGTTCCATATCCTTGCCAGTGGTTGATGTTGCCAATTTGGTGTTCAGGTAGCTGTGATCTTAGAATTTTCATTTTCCTGATTGTTTAACGAGGTTAAACACTATTCATGTGAATGTTAATTGGTTATTTGAATATCATCTTTTGTGATGGTCCTATTCAAATCTTTTGTCCATTTTTGTATTAGATTATCTGTCTTACAGATTTTTAGATGTTCTTTATGTATTTTTCATACATATGTTTGGGTACATATTCTGGATATGTTCTGCACATGTCTTCTGATCCATAACTTGTGTTTTTACTCTTTGTGATGTCTTGATTAAAAAAGTTAAATTATTTTTGTTTTAAAATTTTCCCTTTAAAGTAGTAGAATATAATTAATATTTTCCTTTATGATTAGTGCTTTTTATTGTCCTAATTTAAAAAATTTAATAAGGAAGTGATGCAGATAATTTTCTTCTACTATTTGCTAAACCTTTCTAGAGTTGCTTTTCACATTTAGGTCTCTAATGTATGTACATATATATGTATGTATGGTATAGGGTGAGAGTTTGGTTTTTGTTTTTTCCCATATGGATACTCACTTGTTCTTTTTTTTTTTAGGGGGATGGGGGGAGAATAACACATATTTGTCATAAATATATCTGTGCTCGTGTAGATATATTTCTAGACTTTTCTGTTCTGGTAATGTCTGACACAGAAATCCACCTAAATGAAGCACATGCAAGAAGGTGGGAATAAATTACAAATTCAGTCATTGTAACAGATACAAAATGGACTAAATCCACCAGTTTAGAAACAGATTTTACATTGGATTTTTAAAACATGAGAACTCAGAAAAGTTTAAAGCAAAAGATGGGAAAAAGAATTAGCAGGTAAATTCTGAGTGTCTTTCTCTTCTTTGGGAAGGAACAAGTGTCTCAATTCAACTTCATACATTGTTGGGTCTAAGACCTCTCTGCTCCTGTCCCCTAGTGTTTATTAAAACTCAAGCCCTAACAGGTGCTGTGGCATATGGCTTGGAAGACTGAGGCAGGAGGATCGCAAGTTCAAAGCCAGCCTTAGCAGCTTAGCAAGGTCCTAAGCAGCTTAGTAGACCCAGTCTCAAAATAAAAAGAGCTGTAGATGTGCCTTAGTGGTTAAGCGCCTCTGGATTCAATTCCTGGTACCCCCCCTAAATAATAATAACAATAAATAAATAAAAACAAAACTGCAAGCCCAAAGATTACAGAATTTTACCTCCCAGGACAGCCTTTTTCCCCCCTGCCCCTGGAAAGTTTCTTTATTGTGGGATCAGCCATGTATTTAAAGGCCAATTTGCCATGTCTTATCTATCATGTTTTAGGCATTTGTAGGAACATTTTTCTCCTGTTTACTTCAGTCATTTAGTATGCTGTGTATTGTCTACTCCATTAGTCTTTTATAGAGTTTTTTGCTTTTTTTTAAAAAAAAACTCTTGTTGCTAAGGATCAACTCAGGTTCTTGTGTCTGAGAATTTTAAGAACTCATCCTTCTAAGAGTTCCACTAGAAATACAGTGATCGCCTGTGGTTGATAGGTTATGGATTATTTCTTATATTTGTGTGTTTTTCATGTTTCTACTACAGAGCACATATTTCATAACGTTATCTTAAAAAAAGAAATTGTCCTTAAGATCCTTCAAGTAATAGCCTTTCTTTTACATTTGTTGCAGGTGGTGCGGTTGTGTCAGAACCCAAAGCTGGCGCTGAAGAATAGCCCACCTTATATCTTAGACCTGTTGCCAGATACCTACCAGCATCTCCGTACTATCTTGTCAAGATATGAGGGGAAGATGGAGACACTTGGAGAAAATGAATATTTTAGGGTGTTCATGGAGAATTTGATGAAGAAAACTAAGCAGACCATAAGCCTCTTCAAGGAGGGGAAAGAAAGAATGTATGAGGAGAATTCTCAGCCTAGGTAATGGAGAAATACTACACAAATATTATTTCAGGTCTGTGACTGCCTGAATGGATAACTGTACAAGTAGTTGAGTTTGTTTGAATTTTATATTATCTGGAATGGAAAATGACAGTAGATTTTAAGGTGTGCTTTATGTAAAGGTTCTTTTGGAGGACATTGCACCATCTTCAAGTCTGGTAGACTTGTTTTCCTAAAGTTATGGAAATGGTTGCAGACCGTAGACCTTTGAAGACCTGGGGGATCGTGAAAGTTAATTGTATGTTGATGTTATTGTGTTTGGTTTTGTCCAGTTGGAAATAAATTTTAACTCATTTAGAACAAGTAACAAAATATAAATTCTACTAGGATTTTTTTAGTGAGTAATTTACTCTTGAGAGACACTTAATTGGAAGGAATAGTAATTTTTGAAGGCATTAAGTAACTATGCATGACTCTAGCAGTAATGTACTAATGGTATTTTTGTAGTATACTATTTCTTAGTCTCTGATGGCTTCAATTATGGCAACTCTGTTCCACTTAAAATTTTTTCCACATCATTACTCATATACCTTGACTGTAACTAATTATTCAGGTTTAGTTCAGGTATCAATCTTTTCTTCTTGAAATGATTTCTGGTGACTAAATTCAGTCTGTAGGAATTTGTAATTTCTGGTTTACTTGCAAATGAACTTTATTCTTATTAAATGTAAAAGGGCTAGGGATGTAGCTCATTGTCTAGCCTTTGTAAGGCCCTGGGCTTGTTGGGGGTGGGGGGAGAAAGAAAAAGGAAGAAAGAAAGTAAAAAAGAAATGTTGACTATATGGAACTCTAAGCTAACTAGTTATTTCATACTGCAGATTTATTTCTTTTACAGCACTGGGTACTGAAGTATTTGAGAGTGTTTCTTTACCCTCCCTTCCCCCTGTGCTAGGGATAGAACCCAGGGCCTGGCACATGCTACGCAAGAGCTATATCCTCAGCCCTTTTTATTTTATTTTAAAACAGCATCCCACTAAGTTGCTCAGGATGGCTTCATATTGGCGATCCTTGTGCCTCAGTCTCATGAGCAGCTGGGATTACAGATGTGTGCTAACAAGCCTGGCAAGAGTTTTAAAAAATATAATCTCATACTGCAAGGACACAGCCACATCAATGTTTATAGCAGCACGATTCACAATAGCTAAACTGTGGAACCAACCTAGGTGCCCTTCAGTAGGTGAATGGATAACAAAAATGTGGCATATATACACAATGGAGTACTATTCAGCATTAAAAGAGAATAAAATCATGGCATTTGCAGCTAAATGGATGGAGTTGGAGAATATAATGCTAAATGAAGTTAGCCAATCCCAAAAAACCAAATGCCAAATGTTTTCTCTGATATAAGGAGGCTGATTCATAATGGAGTTGCGCTGGGGAGGGGAAGAGCATGGGAGGATTAGAAGAACTCTAGATAGACCAAATGGGAGGGAGGGGGTATGGGGGTAAGAAAGACATGGAATAAGATAGACATCTTTACTCTAAGTATATGTGAATGAAGACACGAATGGTGTGACTCTACTGTGAGTACAACCAGAGATGTGAAAAATTGTGCTCTATATGTGTAATATGAGTTGTAATGCATTCTGCTGTCATTTATAACAAATAAGAACAAAAATATATTTATAATCTCAATAAGTAAATCTTTATTACCTAACAAAACTTTAAAAATTTACCAACTACTATAGACTTTATTGTGGCTAATTCTAGGAAGGGAAAGAATTTTAAAAAGCATTTAAATATGATGTTAAGGGGCTAGGGTTGTGGCTCAGTGGTAGAGCACTAGCCTAGCCGGGTGCAAGGCCCTGGGTTCGATCCTCAGCACCACATAAAAATAAATAAACAAAATGAAGATATTGTGTCCAACTACAACTAAAAAATAAATTTTTTTAAAACATATGATGTTAGTGTAACATCATCCAAATATGATATAAGATAATATGACTCAATAGAGATACATACAGGATGCTGCAAGAATAGTTTTGCTTGGTGGCATAGAGTTAGCAGCAAAAAAGAAGTGTCATTTATTTATTTATTTATTTTTAAGAGAGTGAGAGAGGGGGGAGGGAGAGAGAGAGAGAGAGAATTTTTAATATTATTTTTTAGTTCTCGGCAGACACAACATCTTTGTTGGTATGTGGTGCTGAGGATCGAACCCGGGCCGCACGCATGCCAGGCGAGCGCGCTACCGCTTGAGCCACATCCCCAGCCCAAGAAGTGTTATTTAAACTAGATTTTGTAGGATGTTTTATGAGTTTTCTATGTAGAGAAGTCAAGAGAAGACCTTTAACATAGTTGTATGAAAATACAGACTGCTTAGGGAACATGAGCAGTCTGGTTTGGCTAGAACTATGGTAGCTAGATAAGTGGAAATACAGTTGGAGTCTTGTTATAAAGGGCTGGACTTTGACCTGTAGACTTTCTGTCTTGTAGGTGACAGATTGTCATAAAACAGTTGGTGTGTATATTGAGGGGAGGGGATTTGGGGGATTGAACCCAGGTTTGTTCTACACTAAACTATAAATATATATCCCCATCCCTTTTTAAAAATTAAATTATTTATTTATTATAATTTTTTATACATGACGGGAGAATGTAATTCATTTCATATTACACACATAGAGCATAATTTTTCAAGTCACTGTACACAAAATATTTTCACATCATTCATGTCTTCATACATGTACTTAGGATGATGTCTAACTCATTCCACCATCATTCCTACCCCCTTACCCCACCTCATTACCATCCTTCCCCTTTGCCCTATCTAAAGTTCTTCCATTCCTCCTGCCCCACCATCCCTTTTTATTTATTTTTTTAATTTGGAGACAGGGTCTCTCTGAGCTGCCCAGATTGTCCTCCTTCTTGCAATTCTCCTGCCCCAGCCCGCCTATTTGCTGGGATTACAGGCATACACCACTGTGCCCATTCCTTTAATTTTTATTTAGAAACAGCTAAGTTGCTGAGACTGGCCTTGAACTTGTCCTGCTTCAGCCTCCTAAGTCAGAAATTACAGGAGTGCCCCACTAAGCCTGTTTTTTTTTTTTTTCCTTTTTCTCTCTCTCCTGATAAGGGAAAATTTATGAGCTTTAGTGTCTTGATATTTTTGATCTATGTTTTGGCTTAGAAGTTTTTCTATTTTTTAATATGGATATAATTCATGTAGTGTAAAACTCACTCTCAAAGTATATGATTCAGGGTGCTGGAGTTGTGGCTCAGGGGTAGAGCGCTCACCTAGCACATCTTAGGCCCTGGGTTCGATCCTCAGCACCACATAAAAATAAATAAAATAAAGGTATTGTGTCCATCTACAACTAAAAAATAAAATTAAAAAGTATACAATCCAGTAATGTATACAAACTTGTGGTTTTTAGTTTATTCAGTTATGCAGTCGTCACCACTCTTCAATTCCAGATTATTTTAATCACCCCCAAAAGAAACCCATACTTGTTAGCAGTCACTCCTTACTCCCTTTTCCACCTCCCCTCTAGCCCATTCACTAATATCTGCTTTCTCTCTCAGTAGATTTACCTGTTCTAGACATTTTATAGAAATAGAATTGTACAACATGACCTTTTGTGTCTGGCTTCTTTTAGTATGCTTTCACAGTTCATACATATTTATATTGTAAGTCATTACTTCATTTTGTTTATAGTTAAATGATTTTTCAATGTATGGTCATACACATTTTGATTATGGACATTGGGTTTGTTAACATTTTGGGGCTATTCAGAATAATGTAGCAGGCTGCAGTGGCACATACCTGTAATCTCAGCAGCTCTGGAGGCTGCTGATCCCTAGGACTCCCCCCCCCCAAAAAAAAGCTGCTGTTAATGTGCAAATTTTGTTTATTTTTTTCACTCCTTTTGGTCTATAACTAGGAAAGGAATTGCTAAATCATATGGTTCTTCTTTTTTTTTTTTGGACTCATAGATTTTAATGTACCAGAATATAAAAAAAATTATTAGATAGGAGGATTCCAGATAGCACATTACAACCAACCTTTGAGAAATTTCCACATGCCAAGTTTTTCTGTACTATCAAAGAAGGATATCCACAATTTTTTGAAAAGACTATTAAAATAATCTTTCTTTTTTCAACTACATTATCCATGTGAGGCTAGAGTTTCTTCACATACTTCAACCAGAACAGTGATAGAATATAAGTAGAAATATAAGTGACAGATTATAAGCAGAAACAGGTATGGGAATCTAGTTGTCTTCTATTAAGCCAGGAATTAAAAATATTTGCAAAAAATGTAAAATGTAAAAGAGGATAAAGAGGGCTTGAGACTAAAAATGTTGAGAACCATCGATGTAAGCCATTTACTTAGCACTATCATATGGTTATTCTGTGTTTAATTTTTTGAGGAACTTCCAAACTGCTTCGACAAGTGACTACAGCATTCTGCCTTCCTCTAGCAATGTATCAGGATTCTAATTTCTCACCAACATTTATTATTGTCATGGTCGTCATCTTCTTCTATTTTTCCGTACTAGGGATTTAACTCTGGGACACTCAAACACTGAGCCACATCCCCAGCCCTATTTTGTATTTAATTATTTAGAGACAGGGCCTCACTGAGTTGCTTAGTGCCTTGCTGTTGCTGAGGCTGGCTTTGAACTCACAATCCTTCTGTCTTAGACCCCTGAACTGCTGGGATTATAGGCATGCACCACCGTGCCTAGTTTATCATCTTCTTTATTATAGTTATCCTACTGGACTGTGATGTGGTATCTCAAGGTTTTGCAGTGTTTTTCTAATGAGTAATGTGAGTGTGAGCATCATTTCACGTACCTATTAGATATCTTCTTTGGAGAAATGTCTTATCAAAAGTTGTGCCCATTTTTTATTGGGTTGTCTTTTTATTGTTGAATTGTAAGTTTTTTTTGCGTGTTCTGTATACTGGACTACTATCATAAATCATATATACCATATGTAAGATTTGTAAAACTACTCCCATTCTGTGGGTCTTTGCA